TGTAGCTGCTGCTCTGTGCTCACACACAGCTCTGGACATCCTTTGTGCTCACTGTTTAAGAGACTCAAGATGTACATTTATAGTATTTTTAAGTCCTTTTTTTTCTTTGCCTTGAAGTCACTTCAGCCCAGTAGCTAAAGAAAGATGTTTCCTTTTGTCTCTTCAGGACATTGTCTTTCCTAGTTTGATTTGACAACTTACCAAAAACATCTTTTCCCCTGGGATATCTGGCTGTTAACTTCTCTTCCTCTCTGCTGGTCAAAAATACAGCAGAGGTGTTTCATTCCCCATTCCTAGAAAGTCATTTCCATCTCTTCTTCTGCCTTTTTATTTTTCCTTTCCTGATGGCAATTTTTGCAGGATTTAGAAATTGGTTTATTGAGCATGGAAGAGCAGCATGGATGGATTTGGCATTGTTGTTGGCTGTGAGATGATTTTTGGCACAGTTTGTTTCTAGGAAGTGTCTTTGACAAAGTAAAACTTTTTATAGTTGAGAGGAATGTGCAGGAATGTTTGAGGGAGCCCCTTCCTCACCTGGTGCCTTCTGTTTGTTGGGGTACAGAAAATGAAGCTGCTCCAGGGGCACATCTACAGCTCATAATCAGAACAGTTTTTTCCTTGCCAATGTCTTTTTTCCCTGGTGCAATGCCACATTTGTGAAACCAATATTCCTGAAAGAAAACCTGAATTTCTGTGTACTTACCAGCTCCAGTTTTGGCTCAGAATGTTAACAGAAGAAAAATGCTGATAAAGGCAAATGTGGTTAGAATTTTCTCATTAGTAAATTAGTTACTGGTGTGCTGCAAGCTTCGTTTGTATTGATCTGAGTGACAGAAATGGCTCCTGAGCACAGTGGCATTTGTGTGCTTTACTTGTGATTATTGCTTGGGCTTTTTTGGGGAATGCAGTGAGGAATTCTTTAGCCTGGTGAGTTTCTTTTAGTGGATGTGGAGAGTTGAATCCATTTGTGCCTTATAACAAATGACAGCCATGACCTGGGATAAATTACTAATCTTTATGTGAATTGACAGTGCTTGAGGAGAGAGGGGAGGATGAATCACACAGCTGGATCTGATGTGTGGAAGGAGGTGATATTAAATGAGTAATGATTTAATCTTCATCCCCAAAAGTTTTCTGAAGCTGGGCTGGGAAGGAAGGAAGTGGAAAGATGAGGTTGTTCTTGGTAAGGCTGCGTGATAGCAGAAATAATTCCGTGTCATAAATGCTAAATAAATGATTTTGTGATTTTTATTTTTCTTCTGTTCAGACTAATGGTGCAATGTAGGAAACCTTTGAAGGTTTCAGATGAACTGGTGCAACAGTATCAGAGTAAAAACCAATATTTAACAGCTGTAGCAACGGAAGCTGACCAGGAACCTGAAATTGATCCTTATGCCTTTGTGGATGGAGATGTGGAATTCCTGTTTCCTGACAGTAAAAAGGACAGGCAGAACATGGAGAGGGAAGTGGGGAAGAAACACAAGGTGAGTAAAGGAGTGAGGCTACAAATCAGTGATGAGATTAAACAAATCACCTTAGGCACGGGATGGAATGTAAACCCTTCTTTGTGTATGTAGAAGCAAATTAAAAACCAAATTATATTCCAGCAGAAATGATCAATGAAATTAAGCAGCATGTCTCTAATGACACCTAAATTTTTTTTTGGCACACTGGTGGTGCCATTGCATCGGGGCTCATGAGGAAAAAGCTGCTGGATCAGTTTGGCTCAGTGGCCTCCTGTGGCAATAGGTGCTGGCAGGTGCCTGGGGAGAGAGCAGGGACAAGGGCAGTGCTTTGTTCAGGAGTGGAAAGGTCTGGGGGTAGGTGAGGTGAGCCCTGACTCCTTCCCTGGCCACTGAATTGCAATTTTAATTCTTTTTTTGTGCATTAGTGCAGCTATGTGAGACTTGTACTTAAAGCAAAAGGGCACCTACAGAAAAGGAGAAAATCTAACTGCAGTGGGTGCTTGTCTATGAAATACATTTGCTTATTGGAATGAGTTATGTGTGGCTGCATTCATTCAGGAACTGGTACAGTTCATGTGTAGCATCTGATAGTGAGGGTTTTTCCTTAAGGTGTTGTAGCAAGAATCCACAGCTTGCTTTGTAAATTTATCCCCAAGACAAGCCCAGAGCTGGCAGCCCAGGCTCTGCTCCCCCGAGGCAGCAGCAGCCCAGCCTGCCCTGCTGAGCTCACAGGGTAATGAGAACCTGATCCTCTCCAGGGACAGAATCCTCACAGGGACATCAAATACCTCCCACCCCACTCATTAATTTAAGCAAACTTTTCTCTCTTTTTTAATAGGCTGAGGATGGAACATCCAGTGTTACAGTTCTGTCCCACGAAGGAGAGGATGCAATGTCTCTGTTTAGTCCTTCTGTCAAGCAAGGTAAAGAGGCTTTTTTCCCTGTCTTGTGTTATATTAATGATGCCTTGAATAGTCAATAGATTCCAATAGGCTGCTCAGTTTTGTGGTTTATGGTTTGTATTCCCCTTCAGTCTGCTGGGAACATTTCTTTGTTGCACCTTGCAAACAAATGTTGGCTATGAAGTCTGAACTGGAAGGGCCCTCCCCTCTGTGTAAGATGGATGAGATGAACCAAGTCCCTCTCACCCCCTGGTTTCCTTTCCCCAGCTGTGGGCAGAGCTCTCCAGTGCAGTTTCCATGCAG